TGAATAATGCAGATAGTTATCTGTCTGCGGCTATCATTTAATATTGCCATGCCTTCCTTGAGTTACTTGCATGAAATTTGTTTTAAAAAAATGCAGAATACTGGTCAAAATTTAACAAAAACTATAAATTCAAATGTCAAAATATTAGTTTGGTGTCTTATGTCAATTTTTTAATGGACACTATCAACCCAAAGGGGTAAAAATTAGTTTTAGATGCAAAAAAAAATACTAGGAATTAATGAGCTTTGCTTTATTTATTGAAAAATAAAACTAAATTCAAGGGGCATTCAAAAAAATTTTAGTGGATAAAACAAAAATAATTTTTTTTTCAAAATAATGTTCCTTACACTCTACAATCTAAAAAATAATCAAAAGCACTCAGGCTAACATTTAATTTTCAGTGGAGTTGATTTTTAACCTTTGGAAATAGTCACAGGATTCCAGATCAGGCAAATATGGTGACTGGGATAATAACTATGTTCTGGCTTCTAAAAAATTGTTTAAGCAGTTGCGTGTACTGGTGCATTGTCATAGTACCACAAGACATTATTCTCCTGATTTTAGATGTTTTTTCTCTCCGGTTCTCTAACACCTTTGGAACACATTGTCGTATATCATTCAGCATTTATTCTTCTATTTTAAAGTAATTGTTATATATGCATTCTACAAAAATATGTGCAGCCATGTTTTTATCAGCATTTCATGTTTATGTAATCTTTGTTGGTGGTGGTTCATTCCCTCATACACACAACTCTAGGTTGTCCCTGCCCCGCCAAATGGCACTGCAGAGTGGTTCATTCATTGAAGAGTTGGATTGACTCTTGGATATATTACTATGGTCAAAAACCAACTTTCACCATCTGTATGTCAATGACAGATTTTAAGACACCATCTGAAAACTTAAAGCTTGAAGTGGCACCAATTAACTTGCCTCAATTTGCTTAGAAGTCAACAAATGAATGATCCATCAGGCACATCTCTTACTAACCTTCAAATGATCAAGCTAAGATTTTTTGTAAGATCTCAGAATCCCAGGATGGTTATTTCTTTACCTGTATTTAATTTCCAGTAATTGAAATGTGTTTGTGTGAAAAATGCAGTATTTTCTGTTGGTCAAAAGTGAATTTCAAAGTAGTAAATCTTTTGAATCAATATGACAAACTAGGATAAGTTTTTAAATACTTAATTAATATAATTTAAGTAATACTAATGTTACATTTAGGCATATATTATAATTAAATACATATAAATTCCCCTGCCAAGCATGATGGAGTACTTTCTTTGAGAAAGTAGAGATTGAAGAATTGAGAAGAAGAGTAAGATTTCAAGAAGGGTAGCTAATTGTTCTACAAATTAATAAGTTAAGTTGAAGCATAGTTAATACGTGATAATACATTTTAAATAACAGGCTTGTTAGATCGTTACTTCCGATTGGATAATAGAACATCACGTGGTCACTATAAAAAGTTTTTTTTTTGTTGAAGCAACATGATGTGGCTTTTAAAGTTTAATTTAATGAAGTAAGTTTAAAATATGCCATTTGCCAAAATATTTTAAAATGTAACTTCAAGGGAAATTGTCATTAAGCATGAATTAAATGAGGTCACTGATGTCGCTGCAATGTAAGTGCAATCACTGATCCAAAATAGATAAAACATTTACTCTATAGCTAATATTTCTGCAAAATAAGTAGCCTATATGTTCCATCAGAATATAAATGAATTAACCAAAATTTCATCTGGATTGGATGAGTTATAAGGAATTCTCACACACACAGAGATGACTGCTTTTATATTATTAAGTTTTAAATAAATACCTTATATCTGCGCAGATAAGATGAGGTATAAATTTTTGTAAAAGTTTTATAGTTTTAGTATATATCTGTCCTATAAGACGACCCTCAAACTATCAATGGCCTATGAATTTAGTTTAGATCAACGATCATCATCTGGATAATAACACTGTATAGCATATACAGAATTATTTCTTATTCATAATTTTTTGAAAGAACTTCAAATTTTATTTTCTTGCATCTGGCAGCACTGCCTTGCGATTGTTGCAAACATTCACACTGATTCGGATAGTGACTTTGACTATTCACAAAAACGTCATATGAGCTATTCTATTTTGTGGACATACCGTACTCTCTACCAGTAAATAATTATGGTTTGTCAGTTTTCTATAATGGTCTTAATTTATATAAATTTCAATCGAATTTTTTTTCTATCTGTCCTATAAGACGACCCTGGATTTTGAGGGTCTTTTTTAATGATTCAACTATTATCTTATCTGTGCAGATATACAGTATTTATATAAGACATTTAATTTCTTTAAAATTTATTGTGCATGTTTGGTAACTTTAGAAAGAAAATATAAACATTTCTTAAATAAATAATACATGTTTAGTAGATAATGCCTTTTTTTCAATAATTTGAAATTATTATTGGCAACACTTAAACAACCTTACTGTAAAAGATACTAGAAATGTAAGCTTGTAAAGAGCCACCAGATGGCCAAGACAGTTAATGTGCCAGTCTACCACTCTGAAGACCCAGGATCAAATCCAGGTGAGTGAACCTATAAATTTTTCACAAGCATTCAATACCAGATGTGGTTGTTCCTGTGTCTCACCACTCAGCCAAACCCATGATGACTATGATTAAAAAAGGTCTCTTAGTGTTCGCAGGGTAGAAACTACTCATGCTTTGATCCTTATTTGAAAGAATGGATAAATCTTTATTCAAGAGTTGCAGTTGTTTGAGATGACAGGAAGTAGAACTGCAATGATCGTGCATCTGTAAAGGGTTCAGTTTGATTTTGAGGATATTATGCTACAAATCCCTCTTTGAATCTGAGAGGGAATTTTCTGCTGTTGAACTTTTACCACTAAACTGCAAGCTAGGTTTAATGAAGTATCAGTTGTACTGTACACTATGTCATTTCACTAGAACTTTGGACTATTGTCAAAGGTAAGCAGCCTTTTAGCATATATATTCTCAAAATATCATTGTGCAGTATAATTATGACAATTTATGAATGTTTGTGTCATTTGGTTATTATTCATTTAATTTACAATGATTTAATGACATTAATCATAAATTATTTCCAAAGGTCATTTGGTCTGACGAGTTAGAATCTCTCCTCTTCCAGAAAGATGGGTGTATATGGATACACAGAGAATCACATGAAGTGTCATCCATTGTGCATTCTGCCCAAAGTCCAAGCTTCCAGAGACAGTGTGATGGTCTGGGGATACTTAATGTTTGGCCTAGGCCCAGTGATCATAGCATTATTAATGAGAGAAGGTAGGACCATAGCATTCATAACTATTTTCTTATAAATTACTTATTAGTCGTCAGTGGTCCAAACATTACTATAGTTAACAATAAAACCTGGGAAATTTTTATAATTTTCCAAGTTTTTGGGATGATGTATTCTAGGAAGTCAAAATTGATCATAGATCAAATATTAATTCCATTTAAAAAATTTGAAGATTATAAATAAGAAATGAAAGTGAATAATGCATACTTTTTAGCTAGTTAAATTGCATTATATAATATAAACCTTAATTATTTCAGTGCAACAATGCATCAACAACAGTTTACAGAATAAATCAAAACTAAAAAGTTTAAAGACATGTCAAAATGTTTACTTACCCAAATATCTTTTAATCGATTCTGACTTTGAATAACTCATTGAAACAGAATAAAGTGTAAAATGATTTTTTATAAAATTTTTTAGGACAAATATACTTGACTTCTTGCACTAATCCAGTCATACTCAAACTACAACCTACCAAATTTCTATGTGCAGCCCATAACACTCATACTAAGTACTTTTTTTTAACTTTGGCAATTTGGCAAAAGTTTTTAAAACCTGGAGATGCTGGCAACTCTTAACCAGTTGTTTTAGTTGCATAACAATAACAATAGGTACAGTTTTGTTTATTATTACTTTGTGTTTCAGATATACTGAACTGATGAGTGACTGTTTTAAACCATGTTGTGCATCAAAATTATTTGATTATCCACAATGGCAGGAGTGTCTTCAAAATACAAATGAAAAGTATGGAAGAAAATAGTGTTTCAAGACAGTTGAAAAGAAGCATATTTTGTTGCTCTAAATAAACACTGTTTGGCAAGTTGTTTGATTTGTTGCAAAAATGTAATAATAAAAAAATATATAGCATTATTCATCATTATACGACAAAATACAGATCATTTAGTGACACTTCCTCGGGCCTTCAATAAGATGTGGAAAGTTAACTTTCTGTAAGAAGTCATTGCAACAAGAACAAAGTGTTATTCCAGTGGCAGTGACAAGACCATCATATGAAATTTGTTACTTACATTGTAAATATCTGAAACCATTATTGATCTAGAGGTTGTGAAGGAATGTTTCATCAATGCTTCTACTGTATTTTTTGATAATTTTAGCAAAACCAAATAATATCACAATCTAAAATAAATGCAGCTTTGATTCTACCTGAGTTAATGTATTGAAGATATTGCAAAACACGTTTCTGATCACATCATAAATTTGAAAAATTGTAAATGTTTTAGCTTGGCCCTGACATTGGCGTTTGACCCTGGCACAGACATTTTGGCAACACCACAATGTTCCATTTTCATTAGATACTGTACTGAACAAATTTGATTCATGAAGATCTTTTGAAATTTTTTTTCTTATGGCAAATCAAACCAGAGAGAGCATTTCAATATTATTAATACTTTTATGGAGAATTAGCTGTTACCCGCGATTTTGCCTGCGAAAATTTTGCAAGCAAACCCCATTTATATTTAGTATTTTAACAACCATAGTAATTGTTATATAACACCTACCGCCGAGAATGATGAGAATTGCCAAGAATCAAACGAACTATTTTCAATTTGATCAATTTTCTGGGACGTNGCTATTTAAGAAAGCTTGCAATCTATGATGTATTTATTAAAATTTTTTAATAGTAAATAACTTCTTAACTTAATTTTTTTTTATTTAGTATTATGACATCAGTGCTAAGAGCAACTATAATTTTGAAAAGCCATTCTTATGGTTGGCAAGAAAATTAGTTGGTGATTCTAATCTAGAATTTGTTGCAATGCCAGCTTTAGCTCCACCTGAAGTTACTATGGATCCAGAATTGCGAGAAAAACTTGAAAATGACATGAAGGTAAAGTTTGTTATGAATTTTGGAGTTAACATATATATCTATTAATTCATGAGACCTTTAATAAGATCACATAACTTAACAATATTAGTATTAACTTTGGATTGCTGTTAATCTGCAATCACACAAACTAGGGAAAATTTTCTGTGCCTGCTTGTTTTCTTGTAGGCATTTTTGCCAAATTGACTTAGCTGTGCTTCAATATCTTCACGCTACATGCTATCCATCTGTGATTTCAGTTGAAAAACTTTTTTCCTCTTATTGCAGGATTTCAAAAATAATCTGCAGAAATTTACTGCTATGTGCTTGCAATCATATACAATTTTTTTCACACTCGCCTACACACACAACAGTTTTTCTGCTCTCAAATCTTTTTTGATGATTTGATGACATAGATGTTTGTTAACTATGAATTACAAAGGCTATTTTTAAATAAGGTCCGTTTTTTAATAAGAACAAAAATACTGTAAATGTTATTAAAATATATTTTTTCCCATATTCTATATACTTTTATCTACTTTTCTACATATTTTCCATTTTTGTTCAAACATTTATCATACCGCTCAACAATTTTTTGAATTCCAACTTCAAAGAAATCTGCCGCCTGTGAAAAAGTCGACTCCATGACTGCAGTTTTCACTTCTTCGTTGTTGTTGAACCGTTGGCCACCGAAAAATTCCTTTAAGTATCGAAACAAATGAAAATCATTGGGTGTAAGGTCTGGACTGTAAGGTGGATGATCCAGTTGTACCCATCCAAAAGAACTGATTAGACCTTGTGTTTGTGCAGAAACGTGTGGCTTTTCATTGTCACGGAGCAACATCACACAGGAAGACAGTAGACCAAACTGCTTGTTTTGTACGGCATGCCGGAATTTTCTCAAGGTCACACAATATGCATCAGAATTCATTGTTGTGCCTCTTGGCATAAAGTAGACTAACAAAATCCCTTTCCTGTCCCAAAAGACAGTTGCCATAATTTTCCATGCTGAAATGGACTATTTGGCTTTCACTGTGGTTGGCGAAGATGTGTGTCCCATTCCATTGACTGCTGCTTGGACTCGGGAGTCATGAGACACCAAAGTCTCATCTCCTGTAACAATGTGGTCCAACAATTCATCTCCTTCAGATCGTATTGAGTCAAAAGCTATAAAGCACTGCCCAATCTTTTTGTTTTGTGATTGTCAGAAAACAGTCTTGGAACTCACCAAGAACACAATTTTCGATAATTCAGTTTCTCCGAAACAATGGTATACAAAACTGATCTTGAAACCTGTGGAAATTCAATTGGTAACATTGAAATTGTGAATCGTCGGTCCTCTTGAATTTTGTTATCCACATCACACACCAAATCTTCAGAAATCAGAGAAGGTCAGCCAGGGCATACCTCATCATGCACATTAACATGCCCTTCCTTGAACATTCTCACCCACTTTCGAACTTTACTGTCACTCATAGCACTTCACAAATCTGATGGTAAATTTCCACTGCTGCCGAGTTTCTTGCACTCAAGAATCGAATAACAGATCGTATTTCACAGTCAGTGGGCGACTCAATTTTATCAATTATTATAAACTTTACAGCTCAGCACACAGACAGATGATACAGCTGCAAATGGTGTCTAAACATATGCAAAGCATGCTCGGAGCAGACGCAACTACACACTATCGTATTCGCACGTCATTCTCACTTTCATTCACAAACGGACCTTATTTAAAAAATAGCCCTTGTACTTAATGACATGGCAGTCTGAAAGTTGCTAAGACCTTGTATGCTTGTCTTTGTAAGATAGCCTGGGGTGCAATATTACCTTCAACAATTTAAATGTTTTCAGGTTTATTTTGTGCCTTAAAAAATATGGAAATTTTTTAGGGCACAAATATTTTCTAGTCCTTTTGTCATTTATTTTTAGCTGAATTCCTTTCACATTAGTCCACACTATTAGAAAGTTTGAAGGGGTCTGTGTGGGAGCCTGGTCAAGGACATTGTTCTAGAAACATGATCTCACGAACTAAATAATATATGACATTAAATATGACACATACAGCGGAGACATATTACAGAATTTTTCACAATCATCAAATTCAAGGAATAGCAATTACATGCACTATAATTACAAATGAAAAAAAATCAGCAGAAAATTTCCACCTTACACATGTGAATGTGTTTAAAATAAAGTGTATGTGATCACAAGTTAAATGTAATTAAAACTAGACACTGTTCAAATTTTAATGGCATCAAAAAAAAAAATACTGTAAACAACATGAAGTAGACATATTAAACTATTGCATATAGTTATCAGATTAATGTGAAAACGTCATATATAAAATGTATTTTTAGGCTACCAATCAAGATTTTACATCTTTGCATACTGTAAATTAATTTATTTTGTGCTTCATATTTACTTATGAAAAATTATTTGAATTTCTAGAATTCAATAGAATTTTCTTTAAAGTAAAATAAAGTATGCTTTCTTTGTTTTTAAGCGTTCAAAATTGCTGCATTTTATAATTGATTATAAATGTTATAAATGTCTTTTGAAGATACAGAAGATACAGTCATACCCCGGACTTACGCGATAGGTGGGACCGCGCGATAACCGCGTAAGTCGGGGTATAATTTTGCATATAAATACATACAAATTATTTTTAATTGGGACCGGAGACTAAAGAAAACAATAATTTAGAAAAAAATGTTTAATAAAATCTTAGATAATACATACGTGTAACAAATTATATTATTATACAATTTTTCACATTAACTTGATTATCACACCATAATTTTAACATTGTTTCCATCTCAGCGATAATACCGTGATGTTTACAAATGATGCATGAATTTAAAGATTGAGCATTTTTTACAGCTTTGAGAATTTTTTCTTTATCTTTTATAATTGTTCTGACCAACGATTTCAGTAAATCAAACTTCTTTGCCAATTCACAAATTTTCATTTTTGTATCAAAGTCTTTAATAATGTTAACTTTACATTCCAAAGATAAAGTTTTTCTTTTCTTCTTTGATGCAGAAGAATCAGTTCTACTTCGTTTGGATGACATACTAGAGTGTTAAGATTAATCATATTTGTTATTGTAAACCGCGCTTAAGTTAGGCGCCATCTATTCATTTCTTTTGTATGTCCGACGATCAAAAGACTGCTTGGGATAGAGTCTGTTTATAATTTGAAAGGTAATGTTGTCAGTTGTATATACAAAAAGTAAATTGTTTACAAAATGAGTCTTTGTTTATTATCTGATAAATGTATACTTTTTTCGTCAATTGTTCACGATTGCAGATGCCTTTGTGTAAAATCCAAGTAGGATGTATGTAAGCTAATAAATGTTCTCGTTAATCTTATCTCACCATTTGGTTCGTTTACGGTTACAAGAAATCACCACATAGAGTGAATATAACAAACAGAAATAAATTTCGCAAAATAAATTGTAGCTATGCGTCGATTCCGCACGACACGTCCGAACACGTAAGCTGGACAATAGTGTGGGGGGTGAATAATCAAGAGTTGCGTGGCGCTCAAACAAAAGATGAATCGACGAGATTTGAAAATCACGTAAGTCTGGGTATGACTGTACTTAATTTAACTCTTAGCTGCTTTGATATTTATTTTCTTGTGCATTATTATAAAAACACTCTTTTCCTTGAAATCATTTTCTTCTTGACATTTAATTCACAGATATAATGCTTATTAAATATGTGAATTACCTTTATCTCTGGATGTTATTCCATCGCAATACTTTATATTCCAATTTATAGAGAAATGTTTATGACATAAGTATATGATCATAATTTTGAATCTTTTTCCATAGACTAACTTCTAGTGGAAAATCTTGTATAACAAAGCATAATTCTGTTTAATCTTTATTGAATATTAAAAAAGTTACTTTTTATGTTAGCTCCATCATAACTTAATATTCATCTCAGATAATTTAAAACCTTCTTTAATACATTTCTTTCTTTATTTTTTATAGGAAGCACAAAATGCCTCACTTCCAGATGAAGATGATGACGATCTTTGAGAATGATAAATTATTCTTTAACTTGTTAAAAATTTATAAGAGCAAAGTATATTCTAGAAATCTGATGTTTTTTCTTTTTTGTACAGTAAATTGATGTGTGATTTTAATTTTCACAAAACAAATGGATTGTTTAAATTTAGAATGTCTTCAATCTTAAATTAGAACTTCACATAAATCTTATTTTTTGGTTATGTACAGAAATAAATTTTGGAGATAATTTGTAAAGAAGACACAAATTTAATCTTAACCTGTCAGTATAGTTTGAAAATATCAATCTCTACATTTAATGCCTTTAATTAAAATATGCAAATCTAAAAATTGTCTAAATTTCCCTTGTAAAGCTTATCAAAACATTAATATGTGCTACACTGCATAGGTTTATATTTAAGAAGAAAAACTCAATAGTAAACTGTTTTAAATTTGTCAAATATCAGAATTGAATGAGAAAATAAATGGTTTAGTATGGCTGATTTTTTTGTGTTAGTTTGTATGTTAATTCAGAAGAGAAACAATTTCATTGAAACAGATTATATGTGTATGTATATAAATATATATAAATACATTAGATTTGTGAATTTTAATCTAAATATTCACAAAGTTTTCCTAACACTAAAAGTAAAAATAAGCATTTTCTAATTAGATCTTTTCAATTAAGTATTCTATAAACTTGTAATATGTTATATATGGTAATTATCTTTGTTGTTTACTAATATAAATGCTTTATTTAAAAATACAAATGCTTTTATTTCAACAAAAATTTTAAGAAATTTAATTTTAGAAACATAAATTCCAGTTGAGAAAAGATAATAGTAGATAATTTTTCCATCTCTAAATCTTTTCTTTTCATGTGTATGTGCACATTTGTATGATTGGTAGTTTTATATATCTGATGTTTGTATTTATGGGTTCTAAATACTGTTAATTCATTGCATTGCTGCTGTTTTTAAGAGTGAAATTGTATGAAATGTATAAATTCAAATATTTTTCAATAAAATTTAAATTAATATTTCTGTTGTGTGATTATGATGAATAATGCAGATAGTTATCTGTCTGCGGCTATCATTTAATATTGCCATGCCTTCCTTGAGTTACTTGCATGAAATTTGTTTTAAAAAAATGCAGAATACTGGTCAAAATTTAACAAAAACTATAAATTCAAATGTCAAAATATTAGTTTGGTGTCTTATGTCAATTTTTTAATGGACACTATCAACCCAAAGGGGTAAAAATTAGTTTTAGATGCAAAAAAAAATACTAGGAATTAATGAGCTTTGCTTTATTTATTGAAAAATAAAACTAAATTCAAGGGGCATTCAAAAAAATTTTAGTGGATAAAACAAAAATAATTTTTTTTTCAAAATAATGTTCCTTACACTCTACAATCTAAAAAATAATCAAAAGCACTCAGGCTAACATTTAATTTTCAGTGGAGTTGATTTTTAACCTTTGGAAATAGTCACAGGATTCCAGATCAGGCAAATATGGTGACTGGGATAATAACTATGTTCTGGCTTCTAAAAAATTGTTTAAGCAGTTGCGTGTACTGGTGCATTGTCATAGTACCACAAGACATTATTCTCCTGATTTTAGATGTTTTTTCTCTCCGGTTCTCTAACACCTTTGGAACACATTGTCGTATATCATTCAGCATTTATTCTTCTATTTTAAAGTAATTGTTATATATGCATTCTACAAAAATATGTGCAGCCATGTTTTTATCAGCATTTCATGTTTATGTAATCTTTGTTGGTGGTGGTTCATTCCCTCATACACACAACTCTAGGTTGTCCCTGCCCCGCCAAATGGCACTGCAGAGTGGTTCATTCATTGAAGAGTTGGATTGACTCTTGGATATATTACTATGGTCAAAAACCAACTTTCACCATCTGTATGTCAATGACAGATTTTAAGACACCATCTGAAAACTTAAAGCTTGAAGTGGCACCAATTAACTTGCCTCAATTTGCTTAGAAGTCAACAAATGAATGATCCATCAGGCACATCTCTTACTAACCTTCAAATGATCAAGCTAAGATTTTTTGTAAGATCTCAGAATCCCAGGATGGTTATTTCTTTACCTGTATTTAATTTCCAGTAATTGAAATGTGTTTGTGTGAAAAATGCAGTATTTTCTGTTGGTCAAAAGTGAATTTCAAAGTAGTAAATCTTTTGAATCAATATGACAAACTAGGATAAGTTTTTAAATACTTAATTAATATAATTTAAGTAATACTAATGTTACATTTAGGCATATATTATAATTAAATACATATAAATTCCCCTGCCAAGCATGATGGAGTACTTTCTTTGAGAAAGTAGAGATTGAAGAATTGAGAAGAAGAGTAAGATTTCAAGAAGGGTAGCTAATTGTTCTACAAATTAATAAGTTAAGTTGAAGCATAGTTAATACGTGATAATACATTTTAAATAACAGGCTTGTTAGATCGTTACTTCCGATTGGATAATAGAACATCACGTGGTCACTATAAAAAGTTTTTTTTTTGTTGAAGCAACATGATGTGGCTTTTAAAGTTTAATTTAATGAAGTAAGTTTAAAATATGCCATTTGCCAAAATATTTTAAAATGTAACTTCAAGGGAAATTGTCATTAAGCATGAATTAAATGAGGTCACTGATGTCGCTGCAATGTAAGTGCAATCACTGATCCAAAATAGATAAAACATTTACTCTATAGCTAATATTTCTGCAAAATAAGTAGCCTATATGTTCCATCAGAATATAAATGAATTAACCAAAATTTCATCTGGATTGGATGAGTTATAAGGAATTCTCACACACACAGAGATGACTGCTTTTATATTATTAAGTTTTAAATAAATACCTTATATCTGCGCAGATAAGATGAGGTATAAATTTTTGTAAAAGTTTTATAGTTTTAGTATATATCTGTCCTATAAGACGACCCTCAAACTATCAATGGCCTATGAATTTAGTTTAGATCAACGATCATCATCTGGATAATAACACTGTATAGCATATACAGAATTATTTCTTATTCATAATTTTTTGAAAGAACTTCAAATTTTATTTTCTTGCATCTGGCAGCACTGCCTTGCGATTGTTGCAAACATTCACACTGATTCGGATAGTGACTTTGACTATTCACAAAAACGTCATATGAGCTATTCTATTTTGTGGACATACCGTACTCTCTACCAGTAAATAATTATGGTTTGTCAGTTTTCTATAATGGTCTTAATTTATATAAATTTCAATCGAATTTTTTTTCTATCTGTCCTATAAGACGACCCTGGATTTTGAGGGTCTTTTTTAATGATTCAACTATTATCTTATCTGTGCAGATATACAGTATTTATATAAGACATTTAATTTCTTTAAAATTTATTGTGCATGTTTGGTAACTTTAGAAAGAAAATATAAACATTTCTTAAATAAATAATACATGTTTAGTAGATAATGCCTTTTTTTCAATAATTTGAAATTATTATTGGCAACACTTAAACAACCTTACTGTAAAAGATACTAGAAATGTAAGCTTGTAAAGAGCCACCAGATGGCCAAGACAGTTAATGTGCCAGTCTACCACTCTGAAGACCCAGGATCAAATCCAGGTGAGTGAACCTATAAATTTTTCACAAGCATTCAATACCAGATGTGGTTGTTCCTGTGTCTCACCACTCAGCCAAACCCATGATGACTATGATTAAAAAAGGTCTCTTAGTGTTCGCAGGGTAGAAACTACTCATGCTTTGATCCTTATTTGAAAGAATGGATAAATCTTTATTCAAGAGTTGCAGTTGTTTGAGATGACAGGAAGTAGAACTGCAATGATCGTGCATCTGTAAAGGGTTCAGTTTGATTTTGAGGATATTATGCTACAAATCCCTCTTTGAATCTGAGAGGGAATTTTCTGCTGTTGAACTTTTACCACTAAACTGCAAGCTAGGTTTAATGAAGTATCAGTTGTACTGTACACTATGTCATTTCACTAGAACTTTGGACTATTGTCAAAGGTAAGCAGCCTTTTAGCATATATATTCTCAAAATATCATTGTGCAGTATAATTATGACAATTTATGAATGTTTGTGTCATTTGGTTATTATTCATTTAATTTACAATGATTTAATGACATTAATCATAAATTATTTCCAAAGGTCATTTGGTCTGACGAGTTAGAATCTCTCCTCTTCCAGAAAGATGGGTGGATATGGATACACAGAGAATCACATGAAGTGTCATCCATTGTGCATTCTGCCCAAAGTCCAAGCTTCCAGAGACAGTGTGATGGTCTGGGGATACTTAATGTTTGGCCTAGGCCCAGTGATCATAGCATTATTAATGAGAGAAGGTAGGACCATAGCATTCATAACTATTTTCTTATAAATTACTTATTAGTCGTCAGTGGTCCAAACATTACTATAGTTAACAATAAAACCTGGGAAATTTTTATAATTTTCCAAGTTTTTGGGATGATGTATTCTAGGAAGTCAAAATTGATCATAGATCAAATATTAATTCCATTTAAAAAATTTGAAGATTATAAATAAGAAATGAAAGTGAATAATGCATACTTTTTAGCTAGTTAAATTGCATTATATAATATAAACCTTAATTATTTCAGTGCAACAATGCATCAACAACAGTTTACAGAATAAATCAAAACTAAAAAGTTTAAAGACATGTCAAAATGTTTACTTACCCAAATATCTTTTAATCGATTCTGACTTTGAATAACTCATTGAAACAGAATAAAGTGTAAAATGATTTTTTATAAAATTTTTTAGGACAAATATACTTGACTTCTTGCACTAATCCAGTCATACTCAAACTACAACCTACCAAATTTCTATGTGCAGCCCATAACACTCATACTAAGTACTTTTTTTTAACTTTGGCAATTTGGCAAAAGTTTTTAAAACCTGGAGATGCTGGCAACTCTTAACCAGTTGTTTTAGTTGCATAACAATAACAATAGGTACAGTTTTGTTTATTATTACTTTGTGTTTCAGATATACTGAACTGATGAGTGACTGTTTTAAACCATGTTGTGCATCAAAATTATTTGATTATCCACAATGGCAGGAGTGTCTTCAAAATACAAATGAAAAGTATGGAAGAAAATAGTGTTTCAAGACAGTTGAAAAGAAGCATATTTTGTTGCTCTAAATAAACACTGTTTGGCAAGTTGTTTGATTTGTTGCAAAAATGTAATAATAAAAAAATATATAGCATTATTCATCATTATACGACAAAATACAGATCATTTAGTGACACTTCCTCGGGCCTTCAATAAGATGTGGAAAGTTAACTTTCTGTAAGAAGTCATTGCAACAAGAACAAAGTGTTATTCCAGTGGCAGTGACAAGACCATCATATGAAATTTGTTACTTACATTGTAAATATCTGAAACCATTATTGATCTAGAGGTTGTGAAGGAATGTTTCATCAATGCTTCTACTGTATTTTTTGATAATTTTAGCAAAACCAAATAATATCACAATCTAAAATAAATGCAGCTTTGATTCTACCTGAGTTAATGTATTGAAGATATTGCAAAACACGTTTCTGATCACATCATAAATTTGAAAAATTGTAAATGTTTTAGCTTGGCCCTGACATTGGTGTTTGACCCTGGCACAGACATTTTGGCAACACCACAATGTTCCATTTTCATTAGATACTGTACTGAACAAATTTGATTCATGAAGATCTTTTGAAATTTTTTTTCTTATGGCAAATCAAACCAGAGAGAGCATTTCAATATTATTAATACTTTTATGGAGAATTAGCTGTTACCCGCGATTTTGCCTGCGAAAATTTTGCAAGCAAACCCCATTTATATTTAGTATTNATTTGAATTTAAAATGGTTCGAACATTTGGATGAAAAATAGAAATATATAAATATTTATATTCAGTATTTGTAATCGTTGCAAGCAAACCCCATTTATATTCAGTATTTCAACAACCATAGTAATTGTTATATAACACCTACTGCTGAGAATGACGAGAATTGCCGTGAATCAAACGAACTATTTTTGATTTGATCAATTTTCTGGAACGTTTACAATCGTTTCATAATCAAACCAATATGCAATAACAAATTTGAATTTAAAACGGTTCGAACATTTGGATGAAAAATCAAAATATATAAAAATATTTATAACAATGTCTGAAATGTTATTAATTTAATACACCTAAGTACTCGATGAAAACTAAATCCTCTCCCCCGCAAGGAAATTTCGAAAAATCCCTTCTTAGTGTGCATTGCCATGGCAGATCCCTACTAAAATGCAGATAAAAACAAAAAATCTCATCTAAAATAGTACAATAGAAGCCATTCTTCCAGTTAACCCTTAATACTCTCCCTCTCCCTCGGCGGGGAGATTTCGAAAAATCCCTTCTTAGTGTGCATTGCCATGGCAGATACCTACTAAAACACAGATAAATACAAAAAATCGCACCTAAAATAGTATAGTAGAAGCCATTCTTCCAGTTAACCCTTAATGCTCTCCCTCTCCCCCGCGGGGGAATTTCGAAAAATCCCTTCTTAGTGTGCGTTTCCATGACGTACCCTAACTTTCTACCAAATTTCACCTCTTTAGGTTAAGCGGTCTATTCTAGGCGATGATGAATCAGTGAGTCAGTCAGTCAGGACAAGCAATTTTATATATTTAGATAATAGTAATAATAAAAATTAGTTTGTGTATGTACTGATGGGTGTCCTTCAATGACCGGATCCAAAAACAATTTGCTTCCTATTAAAAAAGAAATACAATTTGACAAATTTCTAATTGCTTCACTAAATCATTTGCCAAAACTTTGTCCATGAAATACATGCTGCCATGATGAAAATATTCATAAATATAGTGAATTATGTTAAAGCACAAGAACTGAAGTACAGAAAATTCATGTGTCTCTTGGAAGAAATATAAGTATAGCAACATTCTTGTATATAGTTTGGGTACAATGGCTAAGCAGAGGAAAAGTTCTAGGTCTGTTTTTTCTTTATTGTTTTGTTATAAAAATAATTTTTTGCCGTAAAGTTCACGGCAAAATTGAAAACAATGGAGGGTGGTGGTGGTGTGTGTATTCTTTCTCTACATTACAAAAATCACAGTTTACAGGATGAAAATACTTTGTTCAGCATTTGTGAAACTTTATTTACTTTTGAAGAGAAATTAAGCATTTATTACCAGAAAACTATAAAATCATGTAAAATTATTTGGCTGTCTTATGCAAGGAATTTAAGGGCAATTTTAAGATTTAAGAAATGTTAAGAATTGTCTGTTGCTTGTAGAAAATCCCAGGCAATTGGAAATAGCAACTATTAGAGTAAGCTGCATTTGGATATGATTATACAAAGCTGTTCGACAAGTTAACTTCCAGATTTGCATGATTTTTTATTTTTAAAAAGGAGAGGAGTATGCAGAGTTTTAGAAATTAGTTCCTGACAAATATAAGACAGTACAAAAATATGCTATCTGATCCTCATGTTTTCAACCTGAGGATCAGGTGATCTTTGTGAATCATCCTGTTCTAAAATAAAATATGTAAAGAATATAGTGTATAGAAATTGGCTTACTGATTCTCAACTTCAAATATCACACTAATTTATAAGCATATGCTTGGTTACATAGGTTTTGAGTTTTATTCTTTAAATTATATTACGATGTACAGTGAGTGTACCGTGTAATTTGTGGTACAAGGGGAGAAAAAACGTCGAGTGTGGCTGCACTAAGCCCTTCAACTATTAGATCAACAATAAAAGGGAGGATTCAAGAATATTAGAAAATTTCAACTAAATATAACAAAAATTCAGAAGACACTTATGGAATATATGCAACTACACAATATATTATTTTTGTAATGTAATCCAGAGAAGAATTTTTTCAATAAAATGATCTTGCAAATTAAATATCTTTTATTAACAGGTTCCTGAAGAAGCTTTGAATGTTGTAACAGATAGTGTATGAGGTCTGTTCAAAAAATACGTGGACTGTTGTCATAAAACAATATGTACTTTATGTAGAAGTTACATGTCTGGGTTCCCTTCAAAGTACTTTCCTTCCCAACACACACACTTATCCCAACGGTGTTTCCACTTGTTGAAACAGGTCATCCTGTTTTTTTTTTCTTCCCGTCCTGGTACACTTCTTTTGTAATGTCCTTCAGTGCCTTCATCACATTTGGCTTAATCTCAGGAATCGTCCCAAATCATCCTTTCAAGGATCTTTTCAGTTTGGGGAACAAGAAAAAGTTACAAGGAACAAAGTCAGATGAGTAGAGGAGTGGGGAAGAACAGTGATCAAGTGTTTGGCCAAAAACTCACGAGTTCTGAAGGCTGGATGGGCTGGAGCATTGTCGTGATGGAGAAACCAGTCGCCACTCCTCCACATTTCTGCCTTTTGTGACGAATCGCATCCCTCAGACATTTCAAAATTTCAATGTAGTAAGTCTGGTTCACTGTGGAGCCTTGAGGGAGGTACTCGTGGTGAAAAACACCCTTAGCATCAAAGAAAACTGTCAGCATCACCTTGACATTGGATCAAACTTGGCGAGTTTTTTTGGATCTGTGGGACCACGTGAAACATGCCGTACGTTTTATAGAAACATCACCATAAGCTGTGTTGAGCATAGCAAATGTTTCAGTCACAGATTTTCCAACTTTAACACACAATTTCACAGCAAGTCCTTGCTCCATTAGGTCATTCATTCTGAAGTCCAACAAACGAAAAAAATCACACTTCGCTAAAAACCACATAGCTAATCAACAAATAAAGATATCTGTAATTGGGAAACGGCTTTATCACCAGACGATCTGTACAAACCTAGCGACACCAAGCTGATTCCCCTGGAAACAACTGGAACTGCGCAATTCAAACAGTTCATGTATTTTTTGAACAGACCTCGTACATCAGTGTTTCTCAACCTGTGGTCTATGATGATGGGACAGGTGGTCCTCAGATTGAACCAGTTTTAATTTGTCTAACTTTTTCAATTTGAACCAAACAAACTATTAAAAGTGAATCATCAACTTAATTATGTTTTCATATGTATTAAAAACATGCTTTTAGATTTTTTATAAATGGCACTGTATGTCCAAAATAGTTGGTACTGCATACATAGGTTTAAAATAATTTGGCTTACATAACTTAGTGGTCCAGAGAATTTTTTCAAATATTTCACTGGTCCTTGGGCTTAAAAAAGGTTGAGAAATGCTGGTGTACATTATTCAGACAAAATGAATGACATCAAATTGATGTAAAGGTCCACTTTTAGGACAAATTGATGCCATTATCTCACTTCTTCATGAAAACTAAGTGCACCTTATACATTTCAAATATATTTGAATAGTTGAGAGTTTAAGTCAAGAATAGAGAGGTTGCAGCCGACGTTTTCAATGCAAAAACGTGTATGTCGGACATTCAGCGCCACCTTCCTGTGAGCCTAGAAGTTTGACAATGGTGTTTCGAGCGTCGAGCATGATCCCACTGACGTTCCAAATGCCATTGTCAAACTTCTAGGCTCACAGGAAGGAGGCGCTGAACGTCCGACATACACGTTTTCACATTGAAAATGTCAGCCGCAACCTCTCTATTCAGTCTTTGAGTACAATACCAAATTCATGAGTTTATAAGGCTGAAAGCACAAGGCCCTAGGCTAAAACTAGCAATTTACTTCAATCTCTGATTTTCTACTATCTACTTGATTTCAATATTTTCATTTTTAAAGTAAGTAATATTTTAATTAATATTTTGATCAATTGGCCTTAATTCAAAAGCATTAAATAAGAATTATGAAACAAACTAAAAATAAGTGTATAAGATTAAATAAATACATTAGATCTTTATTATTTTGTTGACATATCTGTACAATGATTACAAATAGACAGATATGATCAAAATCTTCCACTTCTTTTCCTTCCCGTGTATTTAGTATCAGCTCGAACATCCCTGAAACAAAAAATATGTTGTTAATTCAAAACTTATCTTACATTTATTTAGATCGGGTCGCCAAAGTGGTCGATATAACATTGGGTGGGGTCAATTACCGAGCTTATCCATTTCACTGATTGTCAGTTAATAATAATTTTTGTAACAAATATACAATAAATGAAAAAAAATGCAAAGTTAAAAGAAATGTATTAAAATAGTAAGTACTTTGTTTTGCTTGCAACACAAACTTTTTGGTGGGGATCAATGCGGTTTCACAATCAAAAATGTTTGAGAACCTAATTTAGATCACAAATGTTTGTGATCTAAATCAAGGGTCGCCAAACTTATTTCGACTACCGCCCACTTTGAGATTAAAAAAAAATCTAGTGTCCCATATTTTTTAACTTATGCAGCAGATGGTAATGTAAAAAGTTTTCTTAAAAACAGTTAATGCATGTTTAAAATTATATTTGCAATATTGTACAGATGGGATAGATAGGGTGTGACCCATAATCCTATTACTAACTCATATTTAATCAATGAGCCTTCTACTGACCCCCTGAAAGCCTCCAGCGCCCACAAGGGGCGTTATCGACCACTTTGAGAAAGGATGATTTAAATGATAAAATATAATAATATAACTGCACTTAAGCTAAGTACATAATTTGTTAATATATATAATCTGTCCTTATGGACCGATTATATATATTAACAAAAAAGTTTGGTCCAAAAAATTTTATAATTTTCTGGACCAAACTTACAAAAGAGAAGAGAAAGGCTAAAGACGGAGAGGAAGACCAAATGCAGACTTCAAAGACAAGCAAGAAAGGACAAGGAGATACTAAAAGGAACATTTACATCTTGTGAAGTATGTAAACAAGAGAGGTCACATGAGAACTAATTATCTGAAGTTTTCACTGCCTGCAAGGCAACAATTTGTGAAAACAATGAGTAGAAACTACATTATCAATTACATATAAATTACAAATAGTAATAATTAAAATAAAGTGACATCATTTGTTTGAGATATAATATGACTATTATGAGGATATTGTTTTAATTGCCTACCTTTAGTCTATATTAGCCACAATCTTGTATTAAATTTAATAATTAATTTAGAATATTCTGAAAAAAATTAAAAATAAACTAATTGATCCAGAGCAGGACTCAAACCTACAACTCCTGCTTAGTGTGCAGATGCATTGCCACTTATGCTAAGGATATGTGGACCTCCATTCAATCTTCACTTCCAGAAAATTTAATGTTTAGAAATAAATAGATTGTTAAGCTGCCATTTTGTATTCCATCTTTAGTCCAATTTACGTATCCTCATAACTATTTTGCCATAATGTAGCTAAATTAAAATTAGTGGTATCATTTGTATGATCAATGTGAAATCAAAGAAGGGTACCAAGAATATATAGAACAGATTTGTCAGTGAAAACTAAAAGTAACAGACATTGGAGGAAGGACCACTGAATCTGGAACCTGATGTCTTTGAGTGCAAAGTACAGTGTGCAGAGAATCTGCAACTTATCAATCAAAAAAACCAAGAATTGATGAGACTTATTGGTGGTGACTTTAGGAGTTCCACTGACACTGACAACACTAACCACTTTTCAATTTCTCAGATGATTTGGCAAAAGAAGAAAAAGATCAGTTTTCCTTACTATTACAAAGAAAGTTAACACACAAAAATGCTGCAATGTTTGTACAATTGTCTTAAAACATTAGATACACAGGTAACATTCTACTGAAGATCATTAAATATCTGATATAACTAGCAACAGCCGATTAGTTTTGAAAAGATATAAGAGAAGGATGCATACTGTCACTACAGAGATCTTCAAATCCATACATAGAAGCCATTTTTAAAAAAAGCAAAATTAGATAATACAAAGATTGGTATGAAGATTGGAGGCAGAAACATCAAACTTTCATATGCCAACAACACAACATTACTTGCAAGAAGTAAGAAAGATCTAAAAACCTGATATTAAAAGTGAAAGAAAGTAAGATTAATTTTCACTTGAACATAAAAAAGATGAAAATCAGGAGCATAGCAAAGGATGGATGAGCAAAGAGTGATGATAAAGAAACTAAAATTGTTCAACAATGTAAATTCGTCTCTGTAATCCAAAACACACGCTTTGGTAGACGTATCTTACAGCAATTTCTGGTTAGCAAATTTAACTTTTACTTTTCATTGAACTACAAATATATTTCGGGTTGGTATAATATACTCCAACCCCTCTTCAGTGCTAGTTCAAATAAACAAAAAGTGTTAAAACATGACTATGTTATATTACATTAAATGAAACAAACCAAAAAACACTAAAAACACTTACATTTTTTCATTAAGTACACAACAAAAATTGTTTCTTATTTTGCTTTTTCACAAATTAGGAGGTAGGAGGGTAGACCGTTTACAAACATCAATTTATGTTTTAACTTAAATACTATGCATACCATATTAATATGTAAAATACAAAATAAAGATTGCTATAGTTTAACTCGAAGGAAAAATTGATACTAAGGACGGATGAATTCAACGTCTGTTCTCCAGATGTCCAGTCTGCAAGGTGGGGACTTTTCACTCCTCTATCCCCTGACCAAGTGATCTCTTCCCCTGGTTCTCCGAATTTATGACCATTGCAGATGTGGGGTTAAGGGGAGTGGTACACACAAACTTTTAAAAA